CAATGGGTACACCACTGGGAGACCTGTAGCACCAAATTGGGAACAGATCATTCTGGAGAAGGTCTGTCTATGTGGTCACTAACATTTGACACTGACCTGATGGCCCATAATGAATCAGTCAGTCAGTCAGTCAGTCAGTCAATCAATTCTGGTTAATATTCTTAATGTAATATTAATGGCATTGCCTTGCTTTAAAATGAATTAGATATCCACCACTCTTCAAAAGTTAATTGCCTTAATTGATGTGATGAAAATAGTTTACAAAGGAACCATTGAACCTGATTCCTCTGAAACCAAGTTCCAATTTGTGAGCAATTGTTTTGCATAACATATTCAGTAATAGTGTGATTTTCATCAGTAACTAAGTTTCTAATTTTATAAAATCTTCTATCTTGGAATTGACATATGTAACTTCATGCTTTAAAAATGAATGACCTAGGAAAGGAAAATGAGGAGAAAGTTCAAGAAGCAAAGATTGTTTCCACTTTATCCAAATTCCTGAAGTACAGTTTTGAGATAGTAGATATTTATTCATTAATGTCAGGGAAGAATGGTTCTATCCTAATCAAGAGGAGTCCAGTGCTAATTCAACTTGTACCACTGAATATTATTTGAATTTCTAATTATATACATTGATGTCTTAGTTGCAAGGCATCAAAATAATGTTTCAAATTTGCCTCCATGTTGCTTTTGTTTATATTGAATTATTAATCCAGTCCTAACCTGTTTACAGTTATACATAATTCTAAAAATTGTTTTGTGCCTTGTATGAAACCACATAAAATATAGTATACTATGTTATAAAAATCATGTTTCACATAATTACTCTGGATAGAAAAAGGTTTATTCATCAATTTTCTGCATGTTAAACTGTTCTCAATGGCTCAGGAGCAGACCAAAAAAGTGGCAACCTTTTTGTCTTTATGCTGAAACCTCATGAGCAAACGAAATGGAATCTACCAGCAGTGAGGAATGTGGGATCATTTGGATCTCCTCCCTGTCTGCACTTCTCAGTGACTCAAATTTCCCTAAATTCCAATATGACTCTGATGGACAACTGGGAGCTCAAGTTCTGTATGCAGCCACCTTTAAGAATTTTTCTGCTCCCTCCAACCCCAGCCTCAGCTGCTGTTAATTTTCAAAACATAAATAGTAGGACATCTGCAATAGTCTATTTAAGGATTATTTTTATTGCAAAGGTCTTGTTGATTGTTATTTTGTTTTAGTCTATGCTGCCCACAATCTCAACTGACTGGGGCAGTTTATAAATACTGTTCAATCAATCAATCAATCAATGTAAAGTTCAAAAATGGTATTAAGACTAATAAGAAGATAAAATCATCATCATCATCATCTCTCCCATAAACAGTATGGTAAGACGTAACTTACAGAAACCTATACCAGATCAGTTGTTGCCTGGGTCAACAAGGATGGCACTAGGTGTTGGAGTTCCTGGACATCTGGTGACAAGTGTGCTACAGGACTCAGGACTGGCTGAGCAACCAGGGCCAGCAGCTGTAGGACTACTAGAAGAAAACTTGTTTACCCATTGCAAATGTATGAAGACTGAAAGCAAACAAATAATTATCTGCTGTTACAAATCAAGTCCAAGAAGAAGAAAATATCTGAAAAGAATGCACCAGTTCTGGAAAGAACAACATCCAGAATCAGAAATAACAGAACAGAGGCTAGCAGATCAGCATCAATTTATAATATGAAATAAAGTATTCACAGAAGTAGAATTAGAAGAACTGCAAAGGTCTATCCAGGGCAAAGAAATTAAAGTCTTGCCAGTAGTAGCTCAGACTGTAGAGGCAAACCAGGGGGAGTCAGTAGTAGAGGAAGCCAACATTGCTATTAAACTGTTTTCATTCCCAAACCAGGCACCCTCTCCTCTGTCTTCCCCTTAGAAAGAGCAAAGTCTTCTAACTGAAAAACAAGAGAAACCGAAACAAAGAATAACTGACCATCTAAAACAGCACAAAAACAACAGAATAAGGTTGCCTGCATTGTTACAAAGAAACAGTTGGCACAAGTATTAAAAGATGTCAATACTGTAATATCAAATATAAGCGCCAGCTCACTGCAAGAAACAAACCAACTGATGTACAGCTGCAGTTATGACTGAAGATCTTGGATGCAAAATCAGCAAAGAAGACAAGAAGTCAAACAGTGCATCACCAAAATGGAAGATCAGGTCA